TCAGAATATTTCCTTGTTTCAACTTGTAAAATCACAAATCACCACACACATAAGCAAATACAAACAAACATTCTTGTTTTATGTCGTAAACTCGACGCCTTTATTGTGCGAGCTAGTAACCTCCTCTCATCATGCCATGGTATTGTCACACCGCGCAAACCTAAAAAAATTATCCTAACAATCCCACAACAAACATTACGAAAACGAGACAATTCACAATAATACGTGAATACGAAGAAAAACACATATATGCACAAGTATCATATACAAGTTAATATACAATTTCTATACAACATATACATTAATTACAAAACTCAAAAACAAAAGAATTATCGCAATGCGAAAACAATAGAACCAATTCCCGGCAACGACGCCATTTTGTTGAAAGCGGTATAACGGTAAGCAACAAACATTTTGGAAATATTTATCCGGGAATTTATCGTGTCCACAGAGATTGGTTATTGAATTGCCATTCGAAAAATCTCTTGTTAATGAGTTTGGGGATAAATGGGGTTGTAAAGAAAATGTTATCAACAAAAAATAAATGTAAACAAAAGTAAAAACTAAGGAAAAACTTATCAAGCGAGCATATAATCTACTCATTACAGACTTAAATCTATCAACCAATTACATTCAACCTAACAATACTCATCAATGTCACTATGTATCACTCATAACCTAAGTCATTTCTAACCCAAATTGAGAGACCGACTGTATCACCAAAGAAATGATCTCTCTACCTCCTCAACAACACATAAGACAACTATGTAATTGCACTGACGATCTCTCAGCACAACACAACCACACAGAGGCATTAAGCTCTGATACCCAAGTAGATGTCAGCTCTAAATCTATCTCTAAAGTTCAGAAACTAACAGATAATCATCCTAGATAAGAATCTAAGTAGTATATGTCTATAACAACTCAAATACCTAGCACAGAGAAAAAATCCAGGACAACAATCGACAAAGATTTATAAAAAAAGTTTAATATAACGCCATGGGCGATAAATATTCATGAGTTCAAAGTAAATACATATACAAACTCAACACATAAAGAATACACAAAGAGGAAGAGAAATGAACCACAAATCTCCCGGTTTATCAGCGCCAATTGATGAGCAATCCACTCCAGATCATCCGTATGCAAGCTTTAATGTTGTTTTCTAAGCTAATCCTATCCAAAAATGAAGGTTGATGGAGTTGGGGTAAAAAATACCCAAAACCATACCCAAAAAATGTGTTTTTACACCTAAATACGCATTTCTGACTATCCAGCATCGCTCGACGACCAAAACAGTATTTTCCCAATGCTACAGCTTGCATAGTGTCGCCCGACGACTAAAAGCGCCGCCCGGCGACGGATGGCAGAAGGTTGAAAAGTCAGCACAGCATTCTGCACTGTTTCGGCCATAGCTTTTGAATCGTAACTTTGATTCGCGCCCGGTTCAAAATATTGGAAAGCTTATTCAACGCTCTTTCTAACAATGACAAAATATAAATCAAAATTGATGATTTTTTATTCTTTAGTTTTGAGCCTTATTCGTTGACGAGTATCTCAAAATTGCGCGTTCGAAGCTGTGTCTTCAACACTTTATTTCTCATGCTCCAAATACGCATCAATACCTACAAAATGAATGGAAAAACATCAAATGGTACCCTATGTACACAAAAATACAAATAAGCACAAAATAAATGTATTTACACTAAAGTCGGGTTTATTCAACAATATATATATAGTTAAATCGGTTACTTTTTGGTATATATATGCAAATGTACATATTACTATCTTCTAGAGTTGCTATCTTCTCTACTATCTTCTCTACAAACAACACTAATGAATAATCCTAAATGAACTTGTTATCTCTATATCTTCTAAATATGCACCTACCTGAAACAAAACCAACAAAGGCATATCAGAACCAAGATATATAACACTTAAATCTTATAACTATTATAATTTAACACAAATCAATATAACAAAAACAAATCAAGAATCTGTTATAATCCACCATTAAAAATTCACAAATTCATACCATGATACAAACAAAAGTTTATTTGAATTTAACTCCAATACCATCATAACTAATCTTCCACATAACAACAACGTTGCAACACAATTTACCACACTAATGACGACATAGTATCTCATCAAGACTCAAACTTATATATACTCAAAATTCGCATCAATGAAAGTGTCACAATACCTTATAAAATTCTCATCTCAATAATGTATTGACATCAATCCTCCTTAATTTTGTCCATTAGATCTTTCGAGTAAGTAGAAGACTTGAATTCATCAAAGTACTACATAATATGACATAATATGATTTAGTTAAAACTAATTAATTATATGAAATGTGTTAAATATTAAAATAAATCATAAGTTAGAAACACATACCATGGTTGGAATCTCTATTTGATTCAAAAGAATAATTTCTTTCATAAACCTCGACATGAAATAACGGCAATCTATACTATTACACTGACGAGGATACTACACATGGAAAAAATACGAATATATATCAGGATATATAGTTTAACTTGTTTTATCAAGTAGCATCACTAACATAATCAAAATTATGAAAATATACCTGGACTCTGATCCATGTAATGTTGTTTGCTTTACTCTTTGGTACTTGAGTGTGTCTTTGTGATAGAAAAATTTGTATAACTCTAACAAAGTATAAACGAATATTTATAACAATCTCACATAAATAAATAAATAAATAAATATACAAACAAACATTTATAACAATCTAACTTACGTATCAACCATCTTCTTCATATATGGGTATTTTATCCAATCACCTTATAATGAATCTAGATAATATACAATTTTTCTTATAGGATTAATCGCAACCAACAACCAGTGTCCACTGTAAGATTAACAAAGGTTAGATGGAAACTTTCTACAAAATGTCAAAACACGAAAAATTATAATAGATGCAGTTAGAATGAAAATCTAACCTATTGCTAGTATTAAATGGTTAAAAAACAACTTTTATGTATCTTTGTTGGCCATAAATGCACGAACAAAGTACTCTTTGACTTCATCTGGTCTTTGTTCGATTAATCGTGAGTTGATATTGTTGGGAGATAAGAAACAAAATCTTTATTCCAATTGATGCAGACGCATCAAATTGTCATACATGAACCTTAAATAAAAACATCATTAATATTAAGACTATTTATTGAAATGAGTAAATAAATTGTTCAATTAATTAAATAAATTTGATTGCAGTATACATGATGTGTGTATCGATAACACCGAGGCCTAATTTCAAATGTCCAAAAACTTTATCCATATCCTCTTTACTAATTGTTTCGTAATAGAAAAACCAAAAAATCTTCCTCCTTAGCTATATTACAAGTACCTCCGTCAGCCAAATTTGATATTGCTATTAATGTCTGAAGACACGCCCTATACTGAGAAGTGGGCTATTTTTTAGCTGCGGTCTTTGCAACATCCTTTTTTTGTGTGGACATGTTGCTAATTTCAGACTTCTTACTCCCACTGACTTGTTGCATCTCTTTAGTATGAATCTAAAGATCAGATGCATATAAGTTAGGTGAAATATAAGTTCATGAATTAATATTTTATATATATATATATATATATATATATATATATATATATATATATATATATATATATATATATATATATATATATATATATATATATATATATATATATATATATATATATATATATATATATATATATATATATATATATATATATATATATATATATATATATATATATATATATATATATATATATATATACCTCTTTTTTTTGTAACTAACTCGGTTTACCGTGTAATCTCCTTATCTTTTGATTTGGTTTTTGTAGGAGTCTAACACTACCATGAAAAAATGTACGTTAAATAATCGTAAAAAATTTAAATACTCAAAGGTTCATAATGATTTTCAATATTGCCTCTCCCACCAATGTTGCATCTGAAATAACATCACGTAAAGGTAATGGCCCTTCCTTCTCTAAAGCAATATCAATTGATACTTTCAAAAATCCAGCAGAGAGCAGTTTATGGTGAAGTACTTCTCCCAAAGTGTTAAATATCAATTTACTTCTTCCAAAGTATCAATGTAAATTTAACAAAGTGTTCTTTTTAAAGTTTTGTTAAATTCAAATCTAAATAGAGCAGAAGTTAGCTATAATGAGACGACATCAGCGTTTGTGCTTGTGTTTTTGCAGTTTGCAGTTTGCATTTTGATGTTACTTTGTAACACTCAAATAAATCTTGTGATTAAAATTATCTTGTTGATACAAGTCTTAAATCCAATGAATGCTTAGAATATAACTTTGATATGCAATTAATATAGAATTATACATATTGTCTTTTATTATAAAACTTGCTAAGACATAAGTGAAATTCCATAGATACTTCATAGAAATTGTTGATACTTCATACATATTATCTTTTATTATAAATCTTTAAGCAACATAAATATATTGTTAGGTAGCTTTAGAAATTGTTGCTACTCATGTATTTTTTTCCTGTTTCTCTTCTGGCAACTTAAATTATGGGAGCGAAAGGAATGTAAACCAAGTAGCCTTCATGTGTTAGAAAAATTGCATGTTAACGTTGGAGATACAGTGAAAGTCATATCTGGACATGGACATGAAAAGGGACAAATAAGGGAGATTACTAAGGTCTTCAAACACAACAACTTTGTCATTGTTAAAGACATAAACTTGAAGACAAAGCATATGAAAAGTAGTGAAGAGGGAGAACCAGGCCGAATAAATAAGGTGATTATCATCTCCCTTGTTAGGAAAACATTATTATGAATTCTTCACTCTTAAGAGCTATAGATAATCTCTATTACAGATTGTGACAAGCTTACATCAGAACAAGATTGGGGATTGGAAAATATCAAGTCTCTGGGTCGTTTAAATATCAAAATTGTATAGGTTTTGAGTCATTTCGAGAGGAGAAGTTGCATCTTAGAAACATCCTCTTTCTGCACATGAGCAATTTGAAAAGTCTCAGAAAACCGAATGCTCTGTCGGAACATGCAACTAGTGGTTGCGACGAGTTCTGTTACTTGCCTGAACATGGGCTTCCTTCCTCCCTAATTCGACTCTATGTCAAGGATTTCCTAAAGCTAACTCCATCACTTAAACCCACAGTAACAATGTACTGGAATAAGGTGGATCATATCCCATATATAGAAATTGATAACCAGAGATTTGGGGAAGCTAGTTATAGACATTGTTACCTTAAAAACTAGGTGTTTAGGTTTATGTACTAACACCAATATTAGGGAACAAAAATTATGTTGTGTTTTATGTTGTCTCCACATTGAAGGAAGAATCCATTACTCTTTAAATTCACTTTCTTTACACAACTCAGTAGACTATTATTTGCTTCACCTTTTACCTAAAGTTCTAATATTCGTGTACCTTTTCATGTCATAGAAGAGAACAGTGAGTTAACCAGAAAATAATTAGGCTTATGCTTAAGCTTTCTTCAGTACTTGGCTTTTAGGTCTACATATTAATAAAAAGAAAGAGATGCATTTTTTATGAGGCATTTAATGGAACGGTTCACATTCATATAAAATATTATCAAATATAAGAAAAAAATATCAATTCTAGCATGTTTGCTTTGAAGAAATCCCCGTGTTTTTCTTTGAAACAGTGATTACGAACTTTTGACGAGAGACACAGAGATATATAGTGAAAGATGTATAGTGCTCTTCTTCTTCTTCTTCTTCCTATGACGATGTAAGAGATTCGCTTATGTGTTCTTCGCTTTTTCAGTAACGATGTAAGAGATTTGTGTGTGCGATGAATGAGAAGTAGCGATTGAGTGATATGCAACGAATCTAGAAGAAGAAGAACGGGTTCGATTTGAGAAGATGAACGAGTTCGATTTTGCAGAATTAGCGCTTGCCGAAGATGAACGAGTTCGGTTTGGAGATTTAGGAATTTTAGGAAAATATTATTTGTTTTAGAAATAAATTAATATTGTCTTTAGCTAGCGCTATGTCTAAAGCATTGCCTTATGTATTGTCTTAGCCAGTGTTTTCTAAATATTTTTTCATTTAGCAGCGCTTTCATAAAATTTAGCACTAAAAGACCTTTAGTCAGCGCTTTGTCTAAAGCGCTGCCTTATGTAAGCCTTTAGCAGCGCTTTTTCTCAAGTTTTTTTAAAAAAATTTAAAACTTACAGCAGCGCTTATGGCAAAAAGCGTTGCCTATACTGTGCTATCTAAAAGACCTATAACATCGTTTTTTAAAAGCACTTTCTAAAATAACTCTTTAGCAACACTTTTTCTCAACTTTTAAATTATTTTTTTACTTATAGCAGCGCTTTGGGAAAAAAACACTACCTAAAGTGCGATGTCTAAAACCAATTTTGACATAGTATTACGAGATATGTCATAAGTACATTCTCTAATCCACAACCTCTTTAAATCATCAACTAAAGGTTGTAAATACACATTAATTCCTGCTTTTGGACTTTACGCCCTTGGAATGAGGCAAGTCAAAAAACATGTAAGGCTTAGTCTTTGCACATCTCAGGGGTGGTTGTAAGGGGTAACAATAACCAGCCAAGAAGCAAGAATATCCAATTGTTGACGCTTGGACATGTGGAGTAAAACCATCATAGCACAATCCGAGTCTGACATTTTTGGGTTCTGCAGCAAATTCATGATGTATACGATCAAAGTGCTTCCATGTCTCGCCGTCAGATGGGTGTCGCATCATACCTAAACTAATTTTGTTTGTATGATGTCATGTCATTTGACTAGCACTATGCATTGAAGCTAACAATCTCTTCAATCTTGGTATTATCAACAGATAAAATATTGTTTTCACTAATATGGATTTTTTATTACGATCAATGGCTTTTGTGCGAACTACATACCTTGGATTGTTACAAAACTTACATTCCTTCAACGCTCCATCGTTTGTATCAAAATCCACTACAAAATAAGTTATGTGTTGCCACGTGACTCCCACGTCGCTAACACCAAAATCATGTCACAACTTTGTTTTTGCCACGTGAAGAAACATGTCGCTGGAGAGAGCGTGGCAATCTTGTTGCGACGTGGGAAACATGTCACAACGTTGCCACGTGAAATTCACGCCGCAACAAACTTTATGGGGTCAAAGACAGTCAGAGCAGAGCAGAGGTCAGAGCAGGTTTTATATTCACTTTTACGTTGTGTGTTGCGGTGTGTTTTTCATGTCACTAATTTGTGATGTGAAAAACACGTCGCAACTTATTATTTAAAAAAAAAAATTATTTTCTGTTTTAAATATAATAATTCTGATTTAATAATTAATATTATTTTCTGTTTCATTAAATTTATAAATTAAATATTATAATTTATTTATTAAATTCAATATTATAAATCAAATTATCAAAAATAAAACTAAATATATCAAAATATATAAATTAATATACTTAATATAATAAAATTAATAAACTAAAATTTAAATTTAATATTTTTAAATATAAAATATGATTATAAATTTATATTAGTACACAAATAAAAAACTAAATAGAAAATAAAAATAAAACTAAGCAGAAGGATCATTCGAGTCGTCGGAAATGTTTGCATAAATTGTCGCATTTGCTCCTCCATATCAGCCTGCCTCTTCGCTATTGCCTCTATTTCTCTATTATGTTCACCCCTCATTGCCTCCATTTGGGCCTTCAATATCGCCTCCATTTGGGCTTTCAATGCGGCCTCACGTTCTTCGGACTCGCGTCTAGCCAATTATCTTACCGTTTCTAACTGATCTGGTGTCAAATTTATTTGACTTGACCCTCCTTCACCGTCCAAAGCTCTCTGATACAGAGTTCTATCCTCACTCCTCAAGGTGCCTACCAAATTTCCACCACCAAAAAAGCACCCGTTAGGCCCCTTTCCCCCCAACAACTTGACTCCAAATATAGAAACCCACATCTGGATGAACCGATTTTCCTGGAGGAGGAGTATACTGAGGACTATGGGTCAGAAATTCTACAAGCAAGGCATGATAATCCTCCTACACATACAATAAAAAAATCAAGTTAAATATATAAGTAAAGTTAATGAAATTAAATTAAATAAAAAAATAAAATAAAAAACATATAGCCACGTGATTGTAACGCCACAACTTATCAGTTGCCACTCAATTTTCACGCCACAATATCTCACTTGCCACGTGAAAATCACGTCACAAAATTTCTTAAAAAATAAAAAATATATAAACATAAATTTACTTACTAGGGCTTTTTTTGTACGCTCGCCAATAAATTCCCCCGATTTCTTTGTCCGATTTTCGGTAACCAGCTCAGTCATTAATGGTTATCTCCCCAAATGCTTATCCTAAATAAAAAAATTAACTTAAATTAATAATATATGTTATAAATCCAAATATGACTTTAAAAAGTGGTAATAATTACCATGCGTCGAGCATGCTCAGCAATACTAATACTTCCAACAACATTAAGGCAACCCCCTTTTTCCGATGCCCCCATCTTCTTTGTAATTTCATATTTAGCCTTAAATTCATCTGATTCCTAATACTTAAGAAGTTGTTCAAAAACTTCTTTGTCTATCCATTTGGGACGAATGCCCAAAAGTTGCCAATTCTCTCTAACACGTCGTAGCATGTCAGAAAGTCGTCTTGAACTCCTGCCAAAATATTTTTTTTTTACTTTGTTATGGTTCAATGGATCCCAAACACATTTCGCCTGCAATGTTGTATGACATTAAAATAAATAGTTAGATAAATTATAACAATAATGAAAAGGTCATTTAAATAAAAATAACTTAAGAAATAAATTAATTATACCTGAAATTGCTTAAACCATTCGTCTTTATCCGAAACTTCTCTAAAACTCTTCAATTTTTTTGTATAATTCTGCTGAATTATATTATTTATAACCCTGGCAGCAGTTCGACTCGGCCCGAAACTAAAACAACAATAATTGAATTAGCATAATTAAGTATATAAAGTTATATTAAAAATGGAAATGTGTACTTATAAATAAAAATCAATAAATAAGAAACTTACGAGTTCCCTTCAGGCCAAATCCAAAATCTCCCATCAATGGTATGAATCTCACTCGGATCATCATCCCCTCGAAGATCTCTCCTATCTATCTAATCATCGTCCACACCAAGATCATCATCATCCAACTCTGTATGATCATCGGATGCAGGTACATGTGTGGGATGTGGGGTGAGACCAGTCTGTGTGGATCGTGAAGAGGTGGATCCTCCAGGCTGTTGGACGGATGTGGGCATCTGTGTAGGAAGTGGGGTGCTGGATCCTTCAGGCTGCTGCACGAATGAGGGTATCTGTGTGGGAAATGGAAAACTGTGATGGAAGGATGAGGGCACCTGTGTCTGCTGGAATGGTAAACCAGGTGGGGCCCCAGATGGACTAATAAAAGATGGACTCCCAGATGAGAACTGAAGAGGACTCTGAGAGGATAGTAATGGCGTGAAAGGCATAGTATTGTCCATGGACATATGATGAACCTGACTCTGTGGGGGAGGACACGTGGTAGAGTGAGGTGACTGGCATACTACTACCCTTGTACACCTGGGCTTCCTACCACTATCACTAGGACCTTTACCCTTATTATCCTTGGGTGGCATTTTTACCTATTTATAGAAAATACAAGTTAACATATAATATATTTGAAAAGCACAATTCTCATGAATACATATTCATTAACTCATTCAAGAGATGGTTCGTTAAGTAAAATTACAAGACACAATTCTCATGAATACATATTCATTAACTCATTCAATAGATGATTCGTTAAGTAAAATTACAAGACACAATTATCATTAATATATGTTCACTATTCTAAATCGCCATGTTCGTCATCGATATCATCCTCGTCATCTGATGTGATATTGTCCTCAGATCCAGAATCTTCATGATCTTCATCCTCATCAACTTGATTCCCCTCAGCCATTGTATCAGACAAACTTATAGTGTGTTCATCTGGAATCACATCATTAACTTCAACTTCATCAACTTGGTAAGCAACATATTCCACTAGATCGTCAGTTTCAATATGACCCAACGGTTTTGTTTTTATTACAACACAACACCCTCGTTTATGTGGCACAAATGAAGGATAAGGAACATAATAAACTTGCCTAATAATATTTGACATTATGAAAGGGTCGTACTCTTTGTACCTCCGGTTCATTTGAATCTCAACAGTATCATATGTCTTATCTATTTTTGTGCCTCTAGTTGGATCATA